GTTTGTCCCTTGGGGTACTGGCCAAGGATTCGGTTTCTATCAATTTGACCAATGGTGCAGTTGGTTGCTCCACAAGTGGTGTTCGGGTGAGGAACTCACTAGATGCTTCTATTCTGATGTTGTAGTCTGATTTTGTGTGTGGTTTTTTCGAAGAGCGTTTTATCATAGGTGAAAGTCAAATATCGTACAGTGAGGGTGTTTGGTATATAAATACCGAAAAAGCAATTATAACGGTTAAGCTTTGGAAAAACAACATCACAAATCGACATTTGAAAAAAAAAACTATAAACAATCCACTTCCGTTCCAAAAACTGACGACTAAATTCGATTTAATATATACTTGAGTTGTTTGTAATTTGTATTGAGTGCACAGCTTGTCCTTTCTTTCCAGCATAATCGTGGATCCGACCACTCTCAGAGATGGTCTACACTATTTTAAGGTCTATGCATTAGATTGTAAAGCTCCCTGGCGTGGTCCGCTCTTCAAAATTCCTGTCATTATCACGAAACCTCATTCCGTGAAAAGTAGACCACCTGTCCAATTCCAAGGGATGTCATTTGTACCAGGTACATCATATTCAAATGAAAATTTGAAAATTCAGTCTAATGTCTTAATTGTTAGCTGTTACGCCAATGTGTATGTTTTGTGTCACATGTAGGATGGTTATTTAATTTCCTAATGAACATTACATTAAAATATTAAATTGCTTTGCATGTTCCTTTATCTGATTGTCAAGATTAGAAAATGAATTGGATGACCACCTGAAGTTGATAAATATTAATTTTGTAAATACATGCGAACATGTTTAATGCGGATACTACAATGAAGCCTCATAATCATCATTGAGTTAAAAATTTGTTCACCCATCCAGGTTCTTGCTTAAGATAGATAAGGGTTCTGCTGAATATTGAATTATTAGAGGAACAATAATAACCTCATTTTTTTACCTTGCTTCTGATAAAGAATTCTCATTTACAGGTTTTACTATGTCATATACAATTACTAACCGTAAATTTAGAGTTTTGGCGCGTTCTTAGTTTCTTCGCTCTATTCAACTTTTAGCTTTTGTATGCAAAGACTAAATTACTTGTTAAAAAAATATGAAACTTATATTGGTCTTCGTTCGCTA